AGACAAAACAATTCCTTCTCTAGCTGGGGACCAAGGACAAATGATTCAAATCTCAGCTCAAGAGCATAAACAACAGTGGACTAAAGAGAGAAAAACAAGAAGGATGGGACTTCATGGATTAAAGACATAATTGAACTATTAACTTCATTGTGTTAATGGACCAGAACTTATAAAAGTGTTCCAAAATGGACTGGTGGTCCATTTTGTGACCATTTATGGGTTCACCTGGGTTGTAGCTCTGGCTGAGCTCTTGTGCTGCCCAAGGTGTAACCATTGAGGCCTCCTAATAAATAGCTACTTTATTCTTTAGCTCTGTCTAGTCTCTGTTCCAGCCCAGCCTTTACAAGGCATCACACTCCATGGCTGAGCATTAAGGAAAATGATCTTGGTCACTCCAAAGTAAACTTCAAGTTCTGTGGATAATTCATTCCAAGGCCTGCTTCCAAAAGGCAACACAAACCAGACGGCTGAGGGCTTGAGTTTCTCTGCCCTGCAGAGTCCCTCAACAGCAAGCTTTTTATTTTCAAACACTTTCCTTTGCCTGGATATCATATCCCAGAGTTTGTAATGCGTTCCTTCAGTTTCATGTTATAAAAACACCACCTGGTGGGTTGCAGCAGAGTCTTCATATTTATTTCGGACACTTTGAACTAAAACAAACAAACAAAATGATAACTGGATCTCTGAGCCTGGGAGATCACTGTGTGTGGCTTAAAAGACATGCAAGGCATTGTACCATGTAGAGGAGGTTTGTTTAGCAGTTTCTTCTAGGTATTGCTGTCCCTGAGCACAGCAGGCATAAGCACTCAACAGCACTTTGCCTGAAGGATCTCCTTCTGAGACACATATTTAACTATGTAAATGTAGCTGCAATGACGCTTTCTGTGCTTTAACAGGAAACACTTTCATGAAGTACTGGCTTCTCATAAATGTTTGCACACATCAGATATTTGCTACTTTCATGGCAATATGCAGCCCTTGGTCCTGCCCTTCAACACCAGGTACTGAAACCAAAATTGACTAAAGGCAAGGGTTTAGGTATAAAAGTGAAAATATACTACCACAGGTGAAAGAATATGAACTTGATCAATATTTCACCTTTTTTATTATTATTTATTTTTCTACCTAAAATTTCTAAAATGTTATCTATTTGCCACAGCTACATGATTCAATATTTAGTTTTAGTCTTCCATCAAAGATATAAATCTTGATGGTAGGGGACATATTGGGAAACACTCCCTGGTCACTCAGTGTTGAACCTGTTATGTAACTAAGTGTAGGGTTTGTCTGTTCAAATTCAGACCAAATATGTACATCTGAGTATTCTACCTTCTTCTTCTGCATTTCCTTATTTCTCTGTGTTCACTGTAATGCAAGCTGCTGTAATTAACTTTCATTCAGTTGTCTACCTAGAAGGGTGAAAAGTCACTGGAGATGCTCTAAGATGTCCAAGACATCTTAAAAAAGGTTTTATCCTTTAATCCTTAAAGGGTTTTATAAGAATCAGGCTACTTTTGGACAAGCAGCTGTATGCCAAATGTAATACCTCTCTTTCCTACACCTAAAATGCCTGTAGACAGCTGTTTAACCAAGTGAACCCAAGGTGCAAATGTAGACTCTACAGATACCAAGAACTAAGTGGAATTGTTTGCCCCTTACAAATCTTACAATCTTCTAAGCTCATCACTTCAGCATCAACATAATGTTACTTTATGCTGCATTTGGGGCAGTGCCACACTTAACATTTCTGACACAAAGTGAACTGTTTAAACAACACAGCAAACAGATGAAATTTTGCTCTGCCAAAATACGAACTTGTGTTCTGATGCAGTAATATTAATCACAATGTTTGTGGAAATTCTTTTGCAGATTATTTTTTCTAAACCAGAGCAGGACAATACTTTAAATTGCAGCTATTTACACAGTTTCAGAGCTGATGCTGGGGACATGACTGTGATACTTGTCAGCTTTGCTTTATGTAGACTTATGCAAACATGGTATTTGGATTTAGTTCCCAAGCTATTTATCTTCTCCTCTGCTGAAATTATAAATTTCATCAGAAAAAAATCTCCCTGAAACTCAGATGAGACTTCTGAATTTTACCATCTTTCCAGTCAAAATATTAATTCTAGTATGATTTTATTAGTAAACTAGACATTTATCAGAGATAATTTTAAATATTTGGGAAACTTAAATGCCTTTTCTGTAACATAATTCCAGATTCAGACATATGAGGAGACTAAAACCAAACAAGTTTGCTTTATTTCTGGTCTGTTCTGCTAAAAATGATTGGATATCTCTCATTGCAAATGTGCTGTGAACTATGAAAGTTAAATTCATTTACAGGGAAGGATCACTTCTTTTACAGATTAAGATATATGAAAGGTGGCATATATGTTTAAATCCTGATTCATAATGGACCACAGAACCTACTAATTTAAATAAAATGGATAGTCTAGGTTTAGTAATTAAATTGATAGTTTTACTTATTTACTTATTAGAACTAAAAAATACCCCAGTAACATAGCACAGCTCTGTTCAAATAGGTTATTTTAAAGGAGTGTTTTTCTTTTCACTGATTTTTTTCACCAGATGATATCTATACATATTTTTTGGACTTCTTATTTCAATAAAGTCAAATTGTGGCATAGACTTATGGAGCTGAATAGGTGACAGGTTTGCTGTATGATTACACTACTGTTCTAACAGCATATTAATTTAAGATCAGAGATTATACATAATGATTTAGGGCATTTTGATGGAACAAAGGAAAACATATAGGTAGGTTTGAATATTTTTTTATAACACTGCTTGCATGGGAACTTCCAAAGTCTGTTCGCTTGACCCTGGAAAGAAAAAAAAATTCCCATCAAAAGAAATCCCTATTTTCTGATATACTGTAAATTAAATTTTCACTAGAAATTACACCTGACTGTCACTGTTTATTATCTAGTCACATTGTCTTCAGATTCAAAACACATCCAGAGGAAGTTGGGTATTTCTTCAACTGCAAGACCTAAGAATATTTTTCATCTTTATATGGCTTATATAAATAGCTTTTATAATTTATGTCCTGCATAAGGCTCAATCTTTCACTACTCTGATAGTGCATCTGTTAATATTGGAAAAATCTACTTTGTTATACCTATAGCACTTGCTGAACTGCTTTGTTTTGTAGATGAGAGTTGAATTTTTCACTTACTGAAATTAGCCTTTTTAAATATGAGAAGACCTCACTAAAACTCTGAAGAAATTATGAAAACATTTTTTTTCTTTTGTTCTACTTAAAAACCTTCCGCGAAAAAAAAAAAACCTTGATATACCTTGATAGCGATGATTCACCCAAAATACTTCCAGTGAAGCATTGGTTGACTGATGTTTTTCTACACAGCCTGCTGAAAGTACCTGATGAGGAAAAGTTGTATTCCCTCCTTCTCAACATCTGTTCTGTCACTCATGCTTCTTCTATGTTCATTTGCATTGTATTCATACAGCTAATTTTCACAAATTCCAGGCAAGAGAATGGGATTGATAAACCCACATGAAATATCAGGGTATTGCTTAGTACAGCAACAAAGATTAGTTCATTCTGGCAGGTTTTTTTCAGAAAGCATCCAGCAGGTTTTTCAGACAGCATGTTTGACTTTAGTTGACTCTTCACTTAATGCTTTTCTTCAAGGCTGCAGGAAGGATATTTGAGTACATAGAGCAGAATTTCACAAAAAGCAGCTTTCAAGCTGCTTTTAGAGAAAAAAGTACTTTTAATGCAGGCACCAAAAAAAATTGTTCTTTTAAAGAATGACTGTCCTCTGCAACTTCTGCTAAACCAGCTTAACAAAGAAGACAACACCATGACTAAAATATTTATACTGTGTTATAGTCACATTTAAAAAAAAAACCAAAAAGATTCACAAGTTTATTCATCTTTCCTAATGATACAGAAAGGAAAGAAGCACCTAAACAATGAATACTGATGCAGAAACCCAGACTGTAAAATCAATATATCAGCTCAGTAGAGCTGAGCTTTTTTCTAATGCTGCTGTTCCAGCAGTAGAGTTTACCTTCTGAATTATATATGTATTGACCTAATTACATAAATATTGACTTTGCTTTATATGAAGCTTTTTTCAGCCTCAGTGTAATTACAATGTCAATATTTGTTGTATGTAATAACACTGAATTTAGACTTGTTAATTTTGATTGATAGTGGCATGCCACAAGTTATTATATGGGATAAGACAGTTAGTCTACAAGCATGCATAGCAGATACAAGCAGCTGACAATGCTACCAAATTTCAGTGTGTCTCTAAGACCTTCTGTTTCCCATGTTTAATCAGACAGAGGAAATATAAGGGGTGATTACATCCTTGTTCCATAAGAGTACTGTTTTGAGGTGGAGAAATATTTACCCTGGGAGAAAAAAAAAAAAAAAAGTACAAATATTCAGCTGGGAACTCAGTCAAAGGGTTCCTGTTTAAAGTTAGCTTTAGAACTTTTCCTTACAATATTGTGAAGTCTGTTTAAATTGTGCCAAAATGGAGGTTTTATATAGCAACAACTATATTTTTCTGCATACCTTCCATGAGTTATACATTATTTTGCAATATTATTGGGACCCAGACACAAGAAATTTCACATTAAATTATTTCCTTTTTCTTCAAATCCAAGAAAGATGTGAGCAGTGGACTTTTAGGTACTACTGGGACTTGCAAAACTGTTCACTTCAGTCTGTAAATGTTTGTTGAGACATATTTCTACAAGAACAACTTTGTTCAGAGTTGGCAGACCTCAGAAATGCTTTCAACGATGAATAGCCATATAGTATAGTGCGTATTTCTAGATGCAATTATAAAGCATTTGAATTTGGCAGTAACATGAGAATTAGAAACCAAACTGTGCAAGTCTGTGCACTGATGATATTCAAATTTTTTCTAGCTATAATATGTTGCCAGTAGTGACAAGGCATGCACCATACTGTATTTTCTTATTTGTCTCAGCAGGGATGCCAGACAAGACGAACCTCAGTGACGTAAAGCAAATCCATCAAACCAACGATGGCAGCACTTTAGACACAACTGGAGCAGGATGTACAGCAATGGCCGATTATATGACATTTATGTTGATTAGTTTGGCAATACTGTTTCTCAGTCTTTGGTAACTGCTTATTTCTGGCTTGATATATGTATCTCACTGTCATCTATTTATCCCTACTCACAAGACTGGAATAAGGGATCTGGTGAATATAGCAATATTTATGGTATCTTGCATAAGATCAGCTAGTGATCTTCACGCAGAATATTAACAAAAAGTTTTGTGCAATATTTTACCTGGTTTTGCTTATTTTAACACCTGTATAGTCATAAAAAGTCATGTTTTCTTTTTTAATCTTTTATGTTGAAAATACATTGTTTATGATAATCTTTCACTTTTACAAAAGCAATTTTTAAAAAAAAGAGTATTACCAAGTTTGAAACTGTCTCTGGAGGTCATCTAGACCCTGATGTTCATAGTAGACTCACTTCTTGCAAGTTTTTTAAGGCAAACTTCAGTTGACATTGGAATGTCTCCGAGGAGGGAGACTTTACTGACTCCCTGGGCTAATGGCACTAGTGCTTCAACACTCCTAGCAGATATTTCTTAGCTACTATATTTCAGTTTGTGCCTCTTGCCCATTTTGCCCACTGAGTCCTGTCACAGCACCAAGAGCTTGGCTCCATCTTCTTTGCTCCCTTTATCAGGTATTTACACATCTTGAAAAGATCCTACTCTGCATCTTCTCCAGGCCAAACAGACCCAGCTGTCTCAGCCACTCCTTGCACAAGTTTTGTTCCCATACCTTAAAAATCTTCATGCCCTTTGCAGGAATCCATCCACTATGTCCATGCCTCTCTTGTCATTGTCCTTGAGAGCTCAGACCTGAACATAACATTGTAGATGTGTCTCACTAGTGGAGAGCAGAGGGGAAGGATGACCTTCTTTGACCTGCTGATATTTTTCCTGATGCAGCCCAGAAGGTAGTTGGTTGTCTTTGCTGTGAAGGCACAGTTTGAGCTCTTTTTCAGCTTGGTGTTCCTTAGGACCACAAGGTGCTTCTGTGCAAAACTGCTTTTTAACCAGCAGGCACCAACCTGTTCAGGTGTATGGGGTTATTCCTCCCCAGGAAATTTCTGAGATTCCCATCAAGCCAATTCTTCAGTCTGTCAGGGTCCTTCTGAATTCAGAATTATTTTTTATAGTTGAGAAAAACCTACATGTTAGATACTATATATGTGTATGATAGCTGATTTTACCTAGGGATAACATCAATGTTAAGATTCAGTGTTGGATTAAGGTATCTTAACACATATGTCAACGTACAGATATTTACAGATGTGTTTTTTAAGCTGTAACTGTAGTCAGTGGATTCAATTGCTAAAACACCAATGAATGCCAACTGTGATGCCCAAAAAACCCCACATGGTATCCACTACTCTTCTGAATGGCCTCAGGTCTTTCTCTGGGCAAGTGACCACAGCCCTTTGTCAACACAGTCAGTGAAGCCCAGTGCGTTTTTCAGGTCATATAAAGACAGACACCCAAAAAAGCAACTCAGTTGCCTGAAAAGGAATTACTGGTGCCACCTAAGATTTCTTGGAACATCCAAGACATCCTTATGGGACTGGCATATGTGATGCAGGACTTCTGAGATGTTCCAGAGGCTTCCTTAAATGGGAGCCATGGGGAGTGGCAGCTGGCAGCTAAGTGGGACATCCTCAATGCAGACAGATCTAGACATTCCCATGTGGGCCCATGAATCATACACCAAACCTCCACCAATATTACTGGTAGCTTAGATACCCGGTTGGAGTGGTGACACATGAATGCAAACCTGAATCACAACAATCCCTGCTCAATGTCTTATGCTTCATAAAATGAGGCAAGCAAAATGTGCCGCAGTACTAATTTATTACTGTTAAAAAATTTGATTCATCTGCCATGACTAATTCTTGTGTCATTTTAACCAGGAAGTATTTAAGAATATTTTGTAGTTATTTCTCCTGTAGACTATTTTACAAGAGGAAAAAAACCCAAACCAGTACAGTATTGTATGTATTCATATGATAACTAGAACACTTTCTGGACAAAAAATGTTACTCTTACATAAGATTAGTATAAGGAAACATACATAAATATTTTTTATTCCCAAATGTATATGTTAGTCATTAACACACACAGTACAACACCCAGTATAATAAATAGGTAAACAGACATAAAAGTTAGAAAAGCACATGATCATTTCTATGAACAATTGCATGTCCAGATAAATAACATCATTAGGCATGTGTGCCAGTGTGCACATTTTGCTTGACCTCTTTTTCCCTTTGCAGATGTTGCAAATCAATCTTTCAAATTCACTTTTCTTGTTTACTTGAAATTATGACATTGGTAATTCAGGGAAAGAAAATATGAATTAGTTCTTTTCCTTTGTAATGTCAACTCACACTAGTAATCAATCCAGTTTGGCAACTTTTTTTGAACAGTGGCCAGTATCAGTCACTTCAGTGAAAATGGAGTAAGGCTTTGAAAAGGAGACACAGAAATGCAGAAAAAAATTCCACAATTACTCATTACTCAGAATTTTATTAATGTCCTGAAGCACTTTCTTTCCTTTCCTAACTTTTGTGTGTTGTTCAAGACCTTACAAAAACAGATAGTCCAGGAATAGTAGTTTTTTTCTATAGAATCTAGGAAACACGAGTCTCATTTTCAAATACTGATAGTAATTAGTCCTCAGACCTCTTCAGGTATATGTGAACTACTAGCCTGTAATACTCCTTTCTTTTGGTTTACTTGGCCTTTTCCCATTATCTTCAACACTGTACCTACAGAGAATAACTTCTAAGATTCCTTTTGGAGTGGCAAATTGGGTTTCTCCTTCCTAGACACAAATGAACAAACTAGCAGCAATATGAGTAATAGTGTCAGGTCTGGAGATTTCTCACTCACTACTCTGCCACGAGACCTCATTCACCCTCCCATTCCATCCATCTCTAGGCATCACCACACACTCCACATCATTGCTCAGAATCATACTTCTGCCAGGCTGCATCAAGATTTTTTCATTAAATCTACCATGCCATGAAGAAATATTCTAGTTTCTTAAAGAACTATTACATAATCATTAAAAGAGATCAGAGCAAGGAGAAGGGAGGCAAGGCTCTTTGACAATCTGTCCCAAGATCACCTTGCAATGGAGGTACCATTGCATGAAACTGTAGAAACCTGCAGAATATTGTGTAACTCCACATTTGGAAGGCTGGGGGAAAAAAAAAGACCAAAAAGCCCCGACATTGCTGTGCTATGCTAAAGCAAACAATGGAAAGAGGAATAGCACTGAAGAGAAACATGAAGAATGTTTTAGAGAAGCCAAGATGAGAAACAGGAAAAAAAAAGTTAAGCTGGAGATTGTGGTAATGGAGTATAAAACCACCTCCATCCACATGAAATGATGGACTGTTCTCAGTATGTATGTAAGTCAGTCTGGGTCAATTGCCTGGGCATGCAGAAGCTTTTCCCAACATGAGGTCACACAGGCCACACTGGGCTGCCTCTGAGCTCCTCAGATGACCTCAGAAATGACATGTAATTCTTGTTTTCTCTGTTTCCTTTGCTTATACTAGGGCATTTTTAACAGTCGGAATCTTCTCTGTATTTCCCAGAACATTTGGTAAATAAGATTTTAGCTTTATTTTGCCTTCCTTTAAATAAACTTTTCATGTATTATAACTGTTGTGATTTAAAATAGGAATGCTTTACTCAAAGTGCACTATTTCTCAGACAGACACTCACTCAAAACTGATCATACTAAAATTGCAATATTAGAGTTGTGCACCTGGCCTCAGTACATTTTTTTTTATAAATAGAAACCATAAAATAAGAGAGCCTTGTAAGAAATAATTTCTTAGAGGACAGTCTGGTTACTTACAATAAAATTCCAGGAATGGAATAATTCTAAAAAAAATTACAATGCTTCAGAAATCCATAATATTTTTATTTGATAAAATCAAAATATTCCTCTTCTACCCTGAGAGCAAGAGAGGCCCTATACACAGCACACTCATTTGTTAGGGAAGCCTGCTGCCTCCCTGGGTACAGCACTCAGATCATTGCTGTCACTGGATTTTCAGGAAGCCCAAGGTCAATCAAAAAACCTGAGGTGCCACAGAGTGTCCAGAGAAGTGCAAGGGAGATGGTGACAGGTCTGGAGTGTCTGAGGGAGCTGGGATTGTTTAGCCTAGAGGAAAGGAGGCTCAGTGGAGATCTTATCACACTACAAATACCAGAGGAGAGGTTGTAAGAAGGTGGGGATCAGCCTCTCTTCCCAGGAAACCAGCGACAGAATGAGGGGACACAGCCTCAAGCTGTGTCAAGAAAGGTTTATATTGTATATCAGAAGTCATTTCTTCATAGAAAGGGTTGTTACACTTTGGAATGGACTGCCCAGTGAGGTGGTGGAATCACTATCCCCAGAGATATTTAAAAGACTTGTAGATGTGACACTTAGGGACATGGTTTAGTGGCAGACTTGGCACTGCTGGGTTAACAGTCAGACTCAAGGATCTCAAGGCTCTTTTCCAGGCTCAATGATTCTATAATTCTTGACTTTCAATTTTTATTTTCTGTAGATGTACCTGTGTTTTTAAGTGTACTTGTATCTCCTGGGGAAATGGTACTGACTGGAGTACTTATTCTCACAACCAATGTCCTAGCACTTTAAATAAACATTTCAAGGTGACAACTTCTCCTCTGTGTAGCTGGTGAAAGGAAAAAAGAAGCACTTGTTTCCTTGGAAAGCAAATATCATGGTTCCTTTCATGAATAATAAAGGATTATGCATAATTACAGCTATGTAAAAGGTTACCTTTTTATTTCTTTCTGTAGCTATGCATATAACTTCTTTACTACTCTATACCTGTATATTTATATGCTAAAATAATATTCTTGTTGAGATTATAACAAGATTTAGATTAACCTGTTGAAAATTTCAGATTAATCTTATTATTTCCATATCATCTTCTCAGGATAATGAATTAAAATATGTAATTGAAGCTATCTCTATTTATTTTATTTTATATTCAGTTCTTCTCTGAAATAATTGCATAAGCATTAATCTTATTT